ATTTAATGCAGGACATCTAGAAGGGTGAGCCCTTGGAATTCACCAGTATTGGTGATTCTGAAGAAAATCAAGGAAAATGGCGACAGCTACATGACTTAAGACCTCTTAATGCACAGAAGAAACCAATGGGTGCATCACAGCAAGGTTTACCATCCCCAACAGCCATTCCAAGAGATTGGCCTCCCGTGCTCATACATCTCAAAGGTTGTCGTTTTGCTATACCATCACATGAGACGGACAAGCCTCGATTTGCATCCTCTGTGTCTCCTATTAATCAAAGAGAGCCTGTCTCTCACTATCAGTGGAAAGCTTTATCCAGGGCATGCTCAACAGTCCTACCTTATGCCAGCATTTGGTAAGAAAAGCATTGAAGGAGCCTTGGAGCATGTTTCCCACCGGCTATATCATTCATTACATGGATGATACTCTTTTGGCCCCTCCTACAAATCAAATACTGCACAGCTATTTAAAGCAGGCGTCCCCAAACTACGGCCTACGGGCTGCATGCGGCCCCCTGAGGCCATTTATCCGGCCCCCCGGCCACACTTCAGGAAGGGGCACCTCTTTCATTGGTGGTCAGTGAGAGGAGCACAGTATATGGTGGCCCTCCAACGGTCTGAGGGACAGTGAACAGGCCCCTGTGTAAAAAGTCTGGGGACGCCAGATTTAGAGGAATAAAACAAGGCTTGACTAAATGGAACCTCAAAATAGCTCCTGAAAAGGTGCAAACAACCTCCCTGTATCAGTACTTAGGAACTACTGTTACTGCAAGAAGTGTCTGGCCTCAAAAAATAGGTCTCCCCAGAGACGGATTACAAACTCTGAATGATATCCAGCAATTACTGGGGATATTAATTGGCTGCAACCCATACTAAGTTTTGCTACTTATCAACTCAAACACTTTTATCAAACACTCCAAGGAGATTCTCCTAGATTCTGCCCAACAAATTACTGAGGAGGCAGAAGCTGAGTTGCAGCTTCTAAAACAATTGCTTCAGGAATGAAATGTCTCCTGACTCCACACACAAAAGCCTCTGCTTTGGTGTATTCTTCCCACTCCCCATTCTCCAACAGGACTTTTAGGACTGTTCATAGACAAAACTATAATGGTAATAGAATGGCTTTGTCTATCCAATCAGACAGTAAAGTCTTTGCAAGTTTCTCTCTCTCTTTTTTTTTTTTTTTTTTTTTGAGACGGAGTCTCACTTTGTTGCCCAGGCTGGAGTGCAGTGGCACAATCTTGGCTCACTGCAACCGCTGCCTCCAGGTTCAAGCGATTCTCCTGCCTCAGTCCCTGAGTAGCTGGGACTACAGGTGTGTGCCACCACACCCAGCTAATTTTTGTATTTTTTTTAGTAGAAAGACTACAGGTGTGCGCCACCACACCCAGCTAATTTTTGTATTTTTTTTAAGTAGAAACAGGGTTTCACCCTATTGGACAGGCTGGGCTGTGAACTCCTGACCTCAGGTGATCTACTCGCCTCAGCCTCCCAAAGTGCTGGGATTATAAGCATGAGCCACTGTGCCTGGCCTACCTTTCTTTAATCACATAACTTAAAACAATGGGCAGACATACATCAAAAATGCTTACAGGATATGACCCTGATACAGTTACTGTTCCCTTGGATTCCCAACAGCAGGCTGTGGCCTGGGAAATGTCGACTGCATGGCAAATCACTCTTGCGGATTTTGTAGGAGTTACAGGTAACCATCATCTTACAGATAAGATTTTGCAATTTTACAAAGTCCACCCTTTCATCCTCCCTGTCACTCCTCATCACAAGCCTATTCCAGGTAGACAGACTTATTTTACTGGCAGCTCTTCTAAAGGCTGTGCAGGTATTTATGGACCTAAACATACTCAATCAAGACCCCTGGAGTTTCAGCCCAACATTCAGAATCATTGGCAGTTATTCAGGTTCTGCAGCTTACAGCTTTATCCCCTATCAACATTTTCTGTGATTTGGCCTATGTTCGTAACTGTAGCCGGTCATACTGAGACTGCCACTATTAAAAGCACCCTAGAGCCAGAACTGCTTCACTTATTCCTAAGACTTCAACAAGTTATTCACTCTCGTGCAGCTCCTTTTCATATGTCTCATATCTGATCACACACACAACTTCCTGGGCCACTATCTCTAGGTGAGGAGAAAGCAGATAAGCGAATTGGTTGTGTATTTCAGCAGGCCCAAGCTTCCCATGCATGACTGCACCAAAATACCTCTGCCCTCACCCGCATGTTTCCTCTATCTCGCAACCAGACTCGAGGCATTGCGCAAGTCTGTCCCACCTGCCAACATATCTCTGGTGTTACACCCAAGGAAGGATGTAACCCATGAGGCTGAGCTTCAGATGAAATGTGGCAGACAGATGTTGCACATGTAGCAGCCTTCGGCAAGCTCAGCTATGTTCCTGTAAACTGCAGATACCTACTCTCGTATGTTACATGCCACATGTCAAACAGGAGAAACACCTGGTCATGTCTGACATCACTGCCTGTCATCGCTTGCCCACATGGGGCCCCCTAAACAATTCAAAACTGACAATGAACCTGCTTATGTCAGTCATGCTTTTCAAACCTTTTTACAATTGTGGGCAATCAAACACAAAACAGGAATTCCATACAATCCCCAACAACAAGGGATTATTGAGCAGGCACATCAAACACAAAAATGAATGTTGAAAAAACAAAAAAGGGGGAATAGGAGACCAATTACCACCTTAAACAAAATTATACAGAGCCTTGTTTGCTCTAAATTTTTTTGACTTCTGGTATGGATGGTAAGATTCCGGCAGAGAGACATTGGCAAGTATTACAGAAAAAGAGGCAAGTTTACCCAGAAGTGTTATGGAAATTCCCGCAAAAAGGAAGATGGAAAGCCCCGGTGGATTTGCTGACATGGGGACGAGGGTGTGCTTGTTTTTACAGGAGATGGGAAAACGGTGTGTGTGCGACCATGGAACAGGAGACTGGAGGGATCATGGTGGCCAACCACAGGGGCAGTCCCTCCAGCACGAGCCATGAGCAAACGGATCTGAATGCAAAAACAGAACGAGGGCCAACCAGAGTCACAATGATAACCAAACCCTTAACAGGGACAGATCAAGAAAACCATGCGGGAAGCTGAGAAATTGCTGGAACAAAAACCTCTGACTCCATGTTCCTGGCAGTGCTGGCTGTAGTGTTCTGTGCTATATGTTTTCCCTGTGTGGAGGCAAAAGCATACTGGGCATATGTTCCCAACCCCCCAGGAATGGGACCGGTACTCTGGAGTGACATTTCTCCTAAAACATCTCACGATCAGGGAGCATGGGCTCCAGGACTGCTGACTCCCCAAGACACAAAACAATTAAACTCCCAGAACAATAGAATCGACTACACTGCCCCTTGAGAAGGATTCTCTTTTTATATCACCATGGATACATTGCTCAACCACAGCTGTCCTGCAGTCCAATCTCAGGCATGGTTAAGTCACCAGGGGAAAACTTTCTATCTATTAGGCCTCAGCTCTATTAATATTACTGGTGTGTTTACTAATTGCTCCCGGTCCCATCGCCCAAATTGTATTGATTATGTGACATGGACTCCCTTTGAAAATTCTCACCCTCTTCCTTGGACCCAGTATCTTGGCCCGCTGGCCAGACAATCTACGTTAATAGGAGACATTGCTGACTGGGGTCCTTGTGGCCATTTAGATGGGAAAGATGGAAACCAAACCTCTTGGCATCAACGTTGTTGGCACTGGACCTTCAGCACCTCTTCTTCACATCAAACTGGGGTTCATCCCAATCTCCCACACAACTTGCTTCACATGGCACCGGCTTTAGCCCAGTCTTACCTCGGTGGCATTATCTAGGGAAGAGCCCCAATTCAGGAGTTGATTTGGAAAGCAGCACTCCCATTTATGAATGGTAGCATTTGGGTCGGAACACTATCCAATAATAGTAATTCTGTTCAACACAGTTTCAGTATCACCTTTTGTTAGAAACATTACCACTCAATTTACAGTGTTTCCATTCCTTAGGTTTTTCTAGCAGCTAAGAACGGTCAGCTCCAGGTAATCATCACCCAACTGACTTGTGTCTCTTGTCAACTGTATCATTGCCTTAATCATAGTACTAGTCAAACACACAACATATCCACCCTATTAATTCTAAGTCATATTCCTGGATTATAGATTCCTGTCAATTTGTCTGAACCATGGGCTGCTACCCCTGCTTTACCTTTTGTGAAACTTCTTACCCAGCTCACTCAGCGTGCTCATAGAGCCTTAGACGTGATAATTTTTGCTATCATCTCCCTGGCCACAGTAATAACTGCTGTCATAGTGTCCTCAGTAGCACTACCAAGTTCAATTCAAAGAGTCCGACATGTAGAAAATTGGACACGTACAGCCGACCCCTCATGGATGCTCCACGTTACAAACAGAAGCAGCAACGCTGAAGACGACTGTTTCGTGGAAAGGAGAACAAGTACGAAGTTCGCAGTCGCAGCCGCAATTGTGCTGCCATTTTAACCACACTCGCATTTCTGTAACCAATCTGGAATACTACCACAGTGAATATCCGCGGAAACTTGTAAAGGCTCATAACAAGGAGCTCTTACTCCAATGTTGCTTTCAATTTCAGTGATTTACAAAACAAAATTCTTGACTTGAATAAGCAAACGCCTTCTTTAGAATCCTGGACAGAATTCCAGCAGGGCTTGGAGAGCCTTAACCCTGGGACTTATCTCAAACATAATCTCAATGTTTCTTTTATCATTATAGGAATAATGCTATTACGTCTCTGTTTTCTGTTCTGCAAAATCAGGTGGACACCAACCAGTAATTGAAAGCTGCCCAGCCGAGAATTAGCTTCATTCAATTAATACAAAGAATGAAAGGGGGACATGCTGGAGACCCCAAGAATGTGGGACGTGACCAACTCAGTATACCTCTGGAGGCTACGTGAGTAAAGAGCAAACTGTCCTGACGAAAGCAGGATGTCAGGAAACTTACCAGCTGCGTCTGCCACCAGAAGGAATGTCGAGGGCAGTCACGTCCCAGGTCCCGTGCTCCTTGAGGTCATCTGTGCTCCTGGAGGACATCTACCTGAACACCTGGGACCTGTTGAACAAGCAAAGCAGTCCCTGTGATAAATCAAGTAGCTGAGTGACAGTCACCCCCTCCTCCCTATTCACTTTACATAATAAATATGAAGGCTGATGCCTGTAATGCCAGCACTTTGGGAGGCAGAGACGGGTAGATCATGAGATCAAGAGTTTGAAATAAGCCTGGCCAACATAAATAAAAACCCATCTCTATAAAAAAAATACAAAAAAAAAAATTAGCTGAGCATGGTGGCAGGTGCCTGTAATCCCAGCTGCTTTGGAGTCTGTGACAGGAGAATTGCTTGAATCTGGGAGGCGGAGGTGGCAGTGAGCTGAGATCCTGCCACTACACTCCAGCCTGGGCAACAGTGCAAGGACTCTGTCTCAAAATAAATAAAATATAAAATAAATATGAAGGGCTGTAAAAGCTCAGAGCCTTTGTTGACTCGAAGCAAAGAGCCCCCTGACCCCTTCTTTCAAACAGAACCTTAGTCTTTGTCTTCAATTCCACGTTTGTCCTCCTTCGTCCATGAGGTAACTACAGCAGAGCTCCTATCGGGGTGAACCTGCAGAGTTCCCATGGGGCCGCCTCAATGTTAGGTTCCCAGAGGGCAGGCAAAGGGTGACTGATACAAACACAATGTGAAGGGGAAAGTTATCACTACTGACCTAGCAGACACTGAAGAGCACACAGTACCTCTGGACACGACAGACACAGAGGTCAGAAAGCCGAGGCAGGGAAGAGAGAAGAGACCTGTAGACCTATGGCTTTAGTGGGTCCAGGGTGTTATCTGACAGGTTTCCAGCAGGGGCTTTGATGGGTGGGATTAAAGCATTAAACACTGAGGCCAGGAGATCATGCTGTGACTGAGAGGTGGTCACTTTAAATTTGAGGGCAAATGTCAGAACTGTCAGTTTAAAGCAAACAGCCGGAGTGAGGGGACCTGAGCACACCAAACAGGAGAGATACCGCTAAGATTTTATCTCTGGCCACCATCTGCAGCCATTTGGTTAATGTTATTGTGACTCAGCCCTGCCTCTGCTATGAGGCAGCTAAACTTAAACTTTAATAAGTGGAGGCTGAGGCAACATGAAATGATGAGCACTCATGATACTCAGGGCCATCAGAAGGATGTGGTTCTCCGCCCTAAACTCAGGATTCTGGTTCTGGTCTCCTGGGAGAGAGAAATGAAGATGACTTGTCCCTGCTCCCCCTGTCATCCTCTGACACTCATCTTCCCACCCTCCATCTCAAAAAAAAAAAAAAAAAAAAACTGTGATCAGGAAGACGTTATAACCTATGAATAATGGAAGCCCAAATAGTGGCTACTGAGATTAATGCTAACGCTTTAATTTTCTCTCACACTCTCACCTGAGAGCATAGAGACTACAAAATAGTGCCATTCATATTAAATGTTACATATTCCAACCTGTGTCCTAGAATACTATGTGCAAGGCAGCTCTGAAGCCCATTTCTAGGCTTAGCTTACATCCAAGCTAGCTGACTCTAGGATACATTCTTAGACATCCAGGTGATATTTGTTACAGAAGCCACACCGATTCTGTGTATTCCAGCTGTTAAGTGAAGATATTTTCACAGAATCTTGCTTCCTGATTACTCCTCCACAATCATTTCACTCCTGGAAATTAACCTTCTCCCTTTCACCATGTTTCTCTCCAGCAGGCCTGCCAGGACTCTAGCTGAAAAAATATCTCCCCACACAGGATGCTCAGGGTGACACCTTTGTCTATTCCCATAATTATAATATCTCACACAGATGCAGCACTCACTTTGCACCATGCACTGCCCCTAAGACCTTCCCAGCTAGCTACAGTCCTCACAAATCATTTGACTGTCACCATCACCATTTTTACAGATTTAAAAAAATGGAGGCAGACAGGTGGTGTACCCAGTGTAACTCAACTCTATAATTTCGCCTCATCCAACACTTCATCTGAAAAAAAAGGACACCCAAAATTTAAGGTCCCCTGAATGACATCCAGCTTCCAGATGATTTTTGCCTCCTCTACTTTCACAATTTGGCAAACAGCCAGCATTTTGTCTTCTGTCTCACCCTTCACTTATGTCCCTGCTCCTTAACACCACACTCACAACTGCACGGGTTGGCATAAAAGCTGGCTTTTGTAAACCTGTCTCTTTTGGGATAAAGCAAGGCAGGGTTAAGAGTCTCAGAAAAATTCATTTTCACTTAATCATCAACTATTTGGATGGCCATTCTTTGGCCATAAAGGGGTGCACTAGAAACAGAAGTTGTCATGAGCAGAAAGGAGGAGGGTGAGTCTTTTTAAAATTATTGTACTTTAGGTTCTGGGGTACAACTGCAGATCATGCAGGATTGTTGCATAGGTACATACATGGCAAGGTGGTTTGCTGCCTCCATCCCCCCGTTACCTAGATCTGGCATTTCTCCCTGTGTTATCCCTCCTCCACCTCCCCACTCCCCACTGTCCCTCCCCTAGCTCTCCCCTACAACAGACCCCAGTGTGTGATGCTCCCCTCTCCGTGTCCATGTGTTCTCATTGTTCAACACAGGAGGGTGAGTTTCTAGATGGTCACACGGAGGACGAGATTTGAAATCCAGAAAAAGTCATAAAATGCACTCAGAGTGGATGGCTTTGGGCAATGACAGCCCCATCTGCCTCTATCCATGACTGTCTCTGACTTTCTCAGCCTGCCCTCCTGGTCCTCTTTCTTATACCAAAACTAACAACTTGGTCAGACCTGAGCACACAGCACTGAGTGGAGGGGGTGAAAAGGGGGGAAAAAAGGAAAACATCGGCCGGGCGCGGTGGCTCAAGCCTGTAATCCCAGCACTTTGGGAGGCCGAGGTGGGTGGATCACGAGGTCAAGAGATCGAGACCATCCTGGTCAACATGGTGAAACCCCGTCTCTACTAAAAATACAAAAAATTAGCTGGGCATGGTGGCGCGTGCCTGTAATCCCAGCTACTCAGGAGGCTGAGGCAGGAGAATTGCCTGAACCCAGGTGGCGGAGGTTGCGGTGAGCCGAGATCGCGCCATTGCACTCCAGCCTGGGTAACAAGAGCGAAACTCCGTCTCAAAAAAAAAAAAAAAAAGGAAAACATCTGTTGAATCATGAAGTGAGTGACTCACCAAGGTACACATTTCCTTGGCAAAAAAAAAAAATAAATAAATCTAAGAGTACTTTTAAGAGTCCATTCTAACAAATTTCTTTAAAGCCAACACCAATTTTACACTGTACTTAAACAGTTTCATGAGAAGAATCAAAATGAAACAATAACTGTCAGTAGACAAAAAACAAAAAGTCTAAGAATACCCATGCTTAAAGATTCAATTGCAAAGGAAATTAGATTATTTCTCTGGCACACAAAAATTTGACAACGCAATCCATTATTATTAATAACATACACTAAGACACGTCAGAACTTTAGAAATTTTGTAAAATTTTAAACACATGCTAATAACATATTTATACAAATATAAACCAAAGAGAGGTAAACACTATTTTTTATTTGACTATGCTTAACATACCAAATGGGTATAATGTATCTTTCTTGAACTTCCAGGGGCCCTAATATTCAAAAAGTTAGTGTGAGATCAGAAAGACTGATTTCCAAATTTGAAATCTTGACATTAGAAATTTTGTCAAATATCAAAAGTTTAAGACACTTGTTCAAAATAGGGTCCCAGATCACTGCAAAATAATAGTTATTCACTTAGCCAAAATAATCATTTCAAAATTTTAAGAAAAAAAAAAACCTTTATTCTTTGAAAAATGTTTTTCTTAGGAAGAGACTCAGTTTTCTGATAAGACCTAATTAAAAAAAAAAAAAAACCATGAGATGGTACTGAACCTGTCTTTCTCTTTCCTTTTTTTCTCAAAATATAAACAAAAATATTTTACTATTTTATATTAATACTACATACAAATCTTGTTCAAAAAATTTTACCTTTGCTTTGTGTATTATTAATGCTAAAGCTAATTTTAACAAAATCTTATAAGCAAATCCATCTAATCTTAATCAGTTTTAATCACAAGGTCAAATTTTCATGAGATTTTATTTAAGCTTTTAAGAATTTTTTCCCATTCTCTTTCATCAACTATCTATATTGATTCAGTTTTAGCCATTATTCTTTTAATAACTTTCCTTTTTGAGACAGGGTCTCACTCTGACACCTAGAATGGAGTGCAGTGGCACAATCACAGCTCACTGTAGCCTCAACCACTCAGGCTCAAGTGATCCCCCTCTCCTCAGCTTCCTGTGTAGCTGGGACTACAAGTGTGCCACCACTTCTAGCTTTTTAAATTTTTTTATAGAAATGTGGTCTGTGTTTCCCAGCCTGGTCTCAAACCCCTGGGCTCAAGTGGGATCTGGGATGTCACCCAGAATGACTCAGGATCCTACATACTACAAGTCATCCAGCTGTATCTTTCGAGTGAAGAAGTAATTGGACAATTTTGTGTATACGATGAGTAACCTCTGGGTGTCGGCAGTCAGTTCTACTTCACACACACAGGATCGTTAGGCCTGGACTGTGCCTGTGTCCCCCTCTACATTATATCTTATTATGGGATGGGCATTTAGTACAGGACACACACAGAGAGGCAAGCATCAAAAGATCAGAATGCCCCTTCCTGTATCCAGACCTTGCAGACACTCATGAGAAAAGACAGTCTAATGAGGAGGTCTCCTGTAGGAGAAGATCAGTGTAAGCCAAGTATCCGGTGCCCTCCCCATGGACCTGACTCTGAAAAAGACCCGGGAGGACTGAGTCAGGGCCTGGCCTGAGGGCTCCCTGGGATCCTCACAAAGAAGCTCACTCCTGGCAGCCTCAACCTCAGAACCCTGTCCCCAGGATCCTGACTCCAATGACTCTGGAAACTCTGTGTCAGGGCTGGATTGGGCCTCCTAGGCAGGGATGACTAAGAGCAAGTATTTACCAGCTGTCCTAGAGCTGTGGCCCCTGGAGCTGCTCACCAGCTGAGGCTCAGCCACCACAGCCTCCTACAGG